TTGAAATCTAGGTTGGAAAAGGAACTGGAATCATGATTTAAAGTTGTAATGAAGCTTTCTGATTAAGGACAGAAACAAATACCTCATGGGCATAGTTTGTCCGGTGCTTGTTAGCCAATTGCTGTATTTGCAGTGCTTTGCAAGTGTGATGTTAATCTTGACTCAGAGGCTATTGCTTTCTGGGAGTGAAAGGTGTTATATCTGTCACATTGTTTAGTCCAAGGCTTGTTCACAATAAGGATAGCTCTGTGAGCTAAACCAAAACCCATCTGTTTATTGTTTGCCTTGACTATATAACTGACCACCAAGGACTGAATTTAAAAAAGACAAATATCCATCTGTGAACACCCAAACATATTCAGTATAATTCCTTCACATAGAATAGGTATGCTGAATAGCCTCATAACTTGATGGTAACGTAACATGCAACAGTAGCATTCAAACTAACATTGTGCATGCTTTTCATCTTCTAATGACAGGGCTTTACCTCACACAAATATGCCCATCCATATTTGGTTTAGAGATGGTGAATGAAGGGACAGATTTGTGGACTGGAAAGCTGATACATTATTACAGAATGTCAAGACTGTAAGATTAGGTATTCAAGTTTTATAGAAGGTACGGTCTACCAACAACTACACATGACAGACTCTAGTACTGTCTTGGCACAGGTGAAACAGGTGTTGGCAACTTGAATAAAATATTAGTGGGGGCAGGCAAGCCCCACTCCAAATAATCAATTACAAGATACGGCACACACACACCATTTGAATGGCAATATCCATCAATGGGGGGGGCTGTCCCCCTCAAATATTTTTTGGGGGGCAAAGGGACCTCAGGCCCTAAGGAGTTGGCTTCTATGGAAATGTCTAACCACACTGCTCTTGCCAGATCAGTAAACCTCTTATCAGTGCAGCCCTTTCCTAATGGTGGGCATGGTCTTGGCTATTTCAGAAGTCATTCTGTGCCTTGCCTTGCTTGCCTTCCCTCTATGCTTTCTGCAGGCTATGAGGAGAGAAAAACAAAGCAGGATGTGCTGGGAAAATCAAAAGGCATATACCCATTTTACCCTTCAACAGAAGTGCAGGCAAATGAAAGGAAACTAGAGGTAAGACAACAATTGCCTGTCTCCTCTTTCCAAAATATAGCAGTTTGCCTGAGGAAAAAAGAGAATACTATCGTAAGACAGCTAAACTGTTCTGAGAAGTAAGCATTTCCCCCCATCATGCAAGTAATGTTTACATTGCTCAGAAGTGTTGAGCAAAACACAGCAATAAATTTGCTGTGTTTACAGCCCAGGACTTTGACTGGTATGTGTCAAGATGGAAGCACATACAATTCAAATTTCTCCCATGATAATTATTTCATATCTACTAATCCCTAAATAGGAAGTCCTGTCTTCCTTAACTGTAGTTGTGTCAGTTTGTATACCACAAATGAGAGGATTTTTCAGTGAACTTGTTAATCTTGGAGTTTATTTGATGAACTTAATGTGTCTGGCCATGGACAGTGCATTTGGCATCTTATTTACCGTTACAAAAACAATTAAGTGAACTGTGCATTAAATGAGCAAATGTCAATGTCTATTTTTAAATGTTCAGTTAAATACAATAACTTTTCTTCTGGCTTGAATTGGGTTCATTTGGCTTACACTTTTGAGAAAATGTTCACTTTCAATTCTATTTTTAATAACTCTGCAGAAAACAGTTAATATCTGCTACAGTGATGGTTCACTCAGTGCCAAGTAGTAGCTCAAAAAGAAGGATGTACACACACACACACACACACACACACACACACACTGTGTGAATTATATGCAGCATGTTTTATCATTCTTCTGTTCATTTGTTTCCTATTGTTTAACATTGTTTCTAATTTTCTGGGACACATTTTTATTTGTAAATCAATCCGAGTAAGATTGATCATATAAAGGTTGGGATATAAATGAATAATAATAATAAAACATCAGGAGTATCAAAAGATTTCTTCTAGTAAATGCATTTTTAAACAATGTGGCACTCTACTGTTACCATAATATTAGTATACACACTGCTTTGGAGCCACTATCTTCCTTTGATTTTGACAAAAGGTGCAAAGGGTGTATTCTTCTTCTATTAAAGGCAGATAAATATTCAGCACCTTCAAAAGAAAACCATTCCCATGCTTCCTTGCCATTAAACTGGTTTCTAAAAAAGTTCACCTCTCACAAATATTTTCTTCTGTTGTGTACAGTAGCTATTCTTTTCTCTTTTTTTATCTTTAGCATAATACATCACTGAAATTTTAAAATACTGGAGAGTGTGCTAATGTTACTTCATTTAGGCTAAATGATAAAGAAACTAGTCCTAGAGAATTTGAGTTCTCTTTGTATTTTCAAAGCAAATGCATTTTTTGTATAGTGAATATGCAGTGGCGGAGCTTCATGCTCTGGCATGGGGGGGGGCGTGCCACGGCACACCACCTGCAGGGGCGTGACACGTGTCTTGGGGGCATGGCACACCACCTGTGGGGGCGTGGCGCCCAGAAGGGGCGGGGGCGCAGCTGCGATTGCACACCACCGGGATCGCGCTGCCAGGGGCAGTGCACTCCCCCTGCACCCTTCTTCCTCCGCCAGTGTGAATACGGTATGTTGATGTCATAGTGAATATGACATTCAAAATGAAGTGTGGTTTGCAAAATACTATAGCAACATTTCAGTATGGCATAGTAGACATGCGGTTTCTCTCTCAGCTCAATTGGCTGGGGCAACCAAACCGGATAGGAAGGGTACAAATAAAACAACAACAACAACAACAACAACAACAACAACAACAAGTCTATCAATAGCTATGCCCTTCTTGCCTTCTCAAGATAAAGCTACTATATCATATGCTAAATTACAACTGCTAGTTCAATCTGGGGGATTAAATTTTCTGAATCTAATACTGCATCATTGGGCATTTGTCATTCCTTAAGCAGTGAGGGGCTGAAGTCGAACTGATGTTAACAATCCTAAACTAGGCTAGTTTTTGTTGAGTGGTTAGATTGCATTAACCTCATGTTATCTGGCTAAGGCAGATAGGCCACTTATTACTGTGGCTGGTATACGGTAGATATCTTTTTACAGAAGGGGTAGCAAAATCCTACAGTTTGGGTATGCTCCCTAAAGCACCCCCTTCCTTGTGCCATGGACTGGCTGGATGCAGAAGAGTGGTGGGAGGCAGCAGCTGGGGAACCCTCAAGGGAATGCCATGGGAAAGAAGGTGAAGAGCTAGGGAAGTGGTGGTCGGATGACAATGCGTGGTCAGAGGAAGCAGACTTGGGAGAGGAGGATGTGTTGGAAGTAGAAGAGGTAACAGGGTTTAGTGAGCAGGAAGAGGCTGTGATAGAGGGCAGTTCAAACTTTAAGTCTGAAGCAGAGGCTGGAGAGGAGAGTGGCCAGGAGGCAGAGTTGAAATAGGCTGCTGAAGAATCCAGGGAGTCTCTCCCTCTTGCTGCGACTAGATCCCCTGCCTGCTGGTCTCCCAGACCACACAGAGAAATGAACAGAGCAGAGAAGAGATTGGTTGTGCACAGACACAGTTCGTGACTGTTTGGGAAAGACCCTGGAAAGGATGAGCCTTAGAGAGTGGTGCGAAGGCAGGGACCTTCATCCTCACAACTGCCTCACTGGGACAAGCCCTACTGGGATGAGTTGCTAGGATCACTAGACCCGTGCTGTTTCGGCTTATTTGAATAAAGAGTTCACTGATGCCATGTTTTTTTATTGCCGACCTACCCTTGACTCCAGCTCTGATACCCTGTGAGACCTACTAGTTTGGTCTGCAGTGCAAGGGTGAATTCTCTGGCAGTAGGGGCTATAAAATTGCAGTGCAAATTGTGCTGCATGTAAGTTGCATTACTAGACAGAGGGCCTTCTCAGTAGTGGCGCCCGCCCTGTGGAACACCCTCCCATCAGATGTCAAGGAAATAAGCAGCTATCCTATTTTTAAAAGACATCTGAAGGCAGCCCTGTTTAGGGAAGTTTTTAATATTTAATGCTGTATTGTTTTTAACACTTGATTGGGAGCCACACAGAATGGCTGGGGAAACTCAGCCAGATGGGCGGGGTATAAATAATAAATAAATAAATAAATAATAATTAGGCTAATCTGAGGCTAAAAGCTAGTTGCACAAAAATAATCAGAAAGTGACCTTTGAACTATCAGCTTTGGCCTAACAGCAAAAATGTGTATTCTGCAAATGGATAATTCTGGCATCTTAGATTTTTAAAAATATTGAACATTTTCCATTATGATACTTGGTTCCTGTAGTACATTTCTCTGGATTATTGACTTAAGTTTTTATATAATGACCTAATTATTACATGGTTGTAATTCATTTTTTTGGTAAATATTCATACTGTGTATGTTAATTTTATTTTCAAATAAATATTTAATTGAGTTTTCAGTTTATATCAATACAGCACACATCAGAAGCAGCAAAAAAACCAGGTTGTGGTTGTGCTGCCTGATACTCAACGTATCTTGTAGCACATTTGGATGTTTGTTGTTGTTGTTGTTTAGTCGTTTAATCGTGTCCGACTCTTCGTGACCCCATGAACCAGAGCACGCCAGGCACTTCGGTCTTCCACTGTCTCCCGCAGTTTGGTCAGACTCATGTTTGTAGCTTCGAGAACACTATCTAACCATCTCTTCCTCTGTCATCCCCTTCTCCTTGTGCCCTCCATCTTTCCCAACATCAGGGTCTTTTCCAGGGAGTCTTCTCTTCTCATGAGGTGGCCAAAGTATTGGAGCCTCAGCTTCATGATCTGTCCTTCCAGTGAGCACTCAGGGCTAATTTCCTTAAGAATGGATGCGTTTGATCTTCTTGCAGTCCATGGGACTCTCAAGAGTCTCCTCCAGCACCATAATTCAAAACCATCAAAAGCATCAATTCTTCGGTGATGATTTGGATTTGGATGTTTACATATGTGCAAAGCAACACAAATTGCCGTCTTAACTTTACTTCTCCCCCACCAGACCCATCAGCTCCACCTGCGCCATCTAATCTCCGAATTGCCAACTCAACAGTGAACAGTGATGGAAGTGTAAGTGTCAAGATTATTTGGGATCTTCCAGAGGAACCTGACATTCCAGTCCATCACTACAAAGTCTTCTGGAGTTGGACAGTCAACAGCAAGTCTTTTGTACCAGCTAAAAAGAAGAGAAGGAAGACGACAGATGGGGTAATTAAATTTAAAAATGTGACACTGTAGATTCCTTGTTAACTTTGACTTAAGTCAAAGATACTTAACACCTTGACTTAAGATGATACTTAAAAGGAAAGAGAGAGAATATTAAGGTGTTGGCTATAATCAAAGGGGAACATAAAAACTTTAAAGAAGGCTATTAAATGATGACATATTTATTTTTGTTGTGTGTGGAAAATAATAAAACAATGTTTGATTTCACACCATTGGCAACTTGTGGTTCATTCACTGAAGTAGCAAACAGTAAGCCCCCTTCCTATATAACTGTAATTTACTGTGTTCAGACATTTCCACAGTTGCTGCACAGAAACCTGTGTAGGCTACCTTTGACTACATTCACATTGTAGTAATAGAAAAGGCAATACAGTGGTACTTCAGGTTACGTACGCTTCAGGTTACATACGCTTCAGGTTACATACTCCGCTAACCCAGAAATAGTGCTTCAGGTTAAGAACTTTGCTTCAGGTTGAGAACAGAAATTGTGCTCCGGTGGCGCGGCAGCAGCAGGAGGCTCCATTAGCTAAAGTGGTGCTTCAGGTTAAGAACAGTTTCAGGTTAAGTACGGACCTCTGGAATGAATTAAGTACTTAACCCGAGGTACTACTGTATAATAGTTTAAGGTAGTATCTGGTGCCATTTAAACCCAAGCTGATTGTGTTTAGTGTGAGAATAACAATAAAGAACACTATAGTCTTGTATCACCCCCAAAACACATTTGGACAATGATTTTCATATGCTCCACTGATTTGGGTTTTTAAAACTAAAACTACAGCAAGGGCAAAAGGCAAAAAAAATGGTAAGAGACAGTGTGGGTATGTCCCACTACTTTGCTGAACACAGATGAATTCATGATTCACTGGGACTGTCTGTGCCCTGCTGCAACTAAGCCCATAGGGTGCACTAACTGATTGGCAACTAGTCTTCAGTCTGCATACCTGTAAAGAAAGATTTGACACCCCAGCACATACGGATACATGCTGCAGTAAGCTAATTGTTGCCAAATCTGATACAGCTCAAGTACAATAGTGTCAAATGCACTACAGTGTGATGTAGCCAAATGTTGCTAACTCAACAAAAGAAACGAAGGAAGAGGAGATGGTTCTAGTTGCTCCAGCTCTGAGTGCTAAAATCTAACTACTTTCCAATCCCGCTTTTTAAAAAAATCAAAATCTCAGTTTTTACAAATTTTTATTTGGCAAGTCACCTTGTTGGATCAATGCAATGGCCAGCTTTGTGACTGGTAAATGTTTCCTAACCGTCATACACAAAACAATAAAACGTACCTATATTGTAGGCAAAATGGTTGCTTTATTGAATTTAAGTTGGCGTAGAAGACAGCAACAGTTTATCTACTTTCACCTGTTCATTTGATAGAACACACAACTTCTAATGTGATTGTGTTTTAGGAAATCCATCACTGAACTGTGCATATATTTTATTTTTTAATTATAGTCCCAGAATTATGTAGTTCTCGAAGGCCTACAGCCGAACAGTAACTTCATGGTGGAACTGCAGGCAGTTACATACTGGGGTCAAGTACGCCTGAAAAGTGCCAAAGTGTCTCTTTACTTCAGTTCCACTCAGACAGCTATTAACAGTAAGTGCCGTTTTTAGAAAGAAACCTAACATCTCATAACATTTGCTTAAGGGGATATCTGTCTATACGAATGTTCTAGGTGACACCTTTGCTACATGTCCAATTCATAGTTTATGCTCTCTGCTCTCCCACTTCATTAGCAATCTACTTGCAGCACAACCTTCCTGTGTGTAGAGAATAGTTTGACTGATATAGCTTGAAAATTGCCTCCTCCTTTCATTCAGGGATGTGTGAGTCCAGAGGTGCACTGAAAATGAGTGCCACAGAGGTTAGTGCTAAATATGGTTGCATTTGAAAGAGACTGAAAAAAGGTCCTTTGTTTCTTCTGAATTGGGTGCCCTTAGACACTCACCCAGACATGTGGGAGTTGCTGCTGCTTGTTCATGAGCACTTCCCACATGGCTGGGACCGTATTTAAGTGACTAACTACATGGGCAGGACCCAGTCATGTTACACAGTCAGAACCTTCTCCCACGGCAGTGCTGATTCTGTGGTAAAGTCTGGAATCTGGTCTGCCTGTGTGGTTCTCCTAGATTCTTTGGAGTTCCAGCAAGAATCTCTGAGTTGGGTAAAAATTATGTGTGTTATATGTCTAGCTCACATTATGTATCTGGCTCATAGATTATATGTTGTCCAGTGTTAGCTAAATGGAAGGCACTAAGAAGTACTTACACATGGGAATATGTGAACTATTATTCTCTTTTTATAGTTTGTGGTTGTCCCATGAGAGCCAGTATTGGTCTTCAGTTCCTATAGCATGTACACATGCGGAGCCAATTTAAATGCTGCAAGGAGGCAGGAGATAATTAATAATTATCTACAGTGTACAGACAGCAAAAGCATGAGCATAACTGTTATGTATTATGAGAGACACTGTGAGGACACATGTTATACAAAGAGTTCCATAATGCTAATTTCTATAATTTATGAAACAGCCCTGGGTGACGTATGGCAGGGAGTTCATTTCTGTATGTGTCTTGTCTCCCGGTCAATATATTGAGGACATTCTTTTGTAAAGCACCAGTCTCAGTTCTATTTATTTATTGAGGGATTTCAGGAAATACATTATGTAAGGTTAAATAGCTGAAATCGAATTGCTTTGTTCATCTTCTTGGCTAAAATGTTTGATGTTTAGGTGGTCACCATCAATTGAGTTTCTTTTGGTACATGTTAAGTGTGTCCAACTTCTGAAACATCATCTAGTTTCCCTACGCACATTAGAAGTGATGGAGAAAAAGAGTAGTTGTTACATTTTTACTTTTTGATAGTTAGCTTCCGTTCTCTGCTGCATATCATATTCAATTTGCAGTGTACAAAATCTTTGCCAGTCTAGCTTCAGTTACCCTAATCTGCTCTCGTGAATTTTGTGGTTTCAGCAGTTTATATTCACTCGCTCTTTCCGTTACCACAGCTAGTTTTAAATTCACACCTTCAGCTACTTTGGGACTTTTAATATTTTCTTGACTTTCCTTCTTCCTCTTTTGTAGATCATATTTCTGAGAAATGTGTTATCTGTCCCATCAACCCCCAATTGATTTTTATATTTTGTATTGGCAGTTTAGAAGCAGTGTCACAGATCACTTTACCTATTGTTGTCTACGCATGACTTGCAGAGGTCTAATCTTTGTAGTCTTGACACTAACAGTGTGTTTTGTATTGCAAACAGCCCTGTGAAGGTAGTATAGAATTATTATTATTATTATTATTATTATTATTATTATTATTATTATTATTATTATTAAACAACTTTTGTGTGACACAATCTTGGCAGGTGGTGGTACTGATGGGTTTAAGGTGACCTTCTTTGTAAAGCTTCATTTTAATAGTTAGCTCATGAGAAACTGGCATGTCCACTGTCCTAGATTAGCTTAACTAGGAATTCTTTTTGTAACTCATTTAAAGGGATTCTACCTTAAAATGTGTTCGTGAATCACATTCTCCTATGTAACACATTCTCCTATGTAATCTACAGAACTGATAGAGTTATCACTACAACTCACTTTAAAAACACTGCTTTTGGGCTGTCTAATATTTCCTGTTTCTTCAGCAAATAGCAGAGAATGTAGTTATGTGAAGTCTGCTGTCCATTTCACCTTTGAGGTTTCCCCCCACATATGCTGTTCCAGTTTAGTCAATTTATATTTTTTGGGTTGGCTCTTGTACATACAAGTTATCGTTTTACTAACTACTGCTTTGGTTGGCTCTATAGAAGGCCTAGCCAAATATTGCATTTATTTGAATGTTCAACTATTTGAATAATATGAATTCATAATGGCTGCAATTCATTTTGATTCACTTTGGCTATGAATATATTTCATGATCTTCCAAGGGAATTTTTGGCTTCTTTGAGAAAGAAGCAGAAAATAAGTGAATCTGAGAGGGGGAAAAAGTGATTTATTTTTTCCAGTTCATTATTTATGTGAAAAGGGAGGACTGGCAATAAATAGTAGTACTGTTTGATCATAGTCTTGTGTGTTTATATTTAATCTACATTTGTAGAGATTCCTCCCCAAAATATTGGGTCTGAAGTGGGGGCATGCCCCGCCCCAAATGTGCATGTTCTCAGGCATGCTCCAACTATGTCTTTATGTGGCTGAGCAGCTTTTAAAAGTGGTTGCATGTAGTTTTCAGTTGTGGCTCATGCCAGATCTTGACCTCTTCAAATATGATAAGCCCTGAATGGGACCGAAGCTGTCAAAAAAAGTTAAATCCAGATGCTTAAGAAAGGGGCAATTTCTGATTCTTAGGATATAGCTACACCACATTTTTAAACCATTTTTAACCACAACTCTCTACATCATTCCTCTTCCCCAAGGAACTCGGGAATTGTAATTAAATGGGATGTCTTACAGTATGTGTACTTTTCTTTTTTAAAAAACCCTACACTTATGGAATAATTTGCAATATCCTGTGAATTCAATGAAATCAAAGCAATGCCCTTCACCAATGAAAACACAAATTTCCCACTGATGTTTGTTTTGCAGAAGAACAGGTATCTATAGTTGAGAAAGCAGCTGATGCTGCCCCATCCTTTAAAGGAAGAAGACCCACTCGTCTTCTTGAAATCGGAGTGCCTTTTTATCAAGATGATCAACTTCAGGTGAAAGTCTATTGGAAGAAAACAGAAGGTGGGTAAAAATCTATTTGAAATCCAGATAGGTTCATGGTGACCCAACTACAGAAGGACTTCTGCTAGATGTACAAAGTTTGATTGGCATTTTAGGAGAAGGATAATATAATCTTCTGGGAATTTGTGATGAGAGCAGTTGTGGACTAAATATACTCTTTGTTACAAGTGAAGAAATTGAAATACAAGTCACAGAACCACATTTTAAGTACAGTACCTGTCAGAGCTGCCTCAGGTCCCAGCTCACAAAGGACCAACGCCAGTCCGTTGTCATATAGAATAGTCTTTATTAAGGTTCAGTTTCCCATTTACAGCCACGGCGCGCAGCTCTACGTTTTGAAACCTAGACCGCCGAAGCTCCGTCTGAATCTCCTCCCCCCTGACACCAGTTTAAGAGTCTAGCCTTGCTCCACCTCTTCCTTAACTCTTTCCTCCTCTGGGCCCGCCTGTCCGCTGGGGTCTTGCCCTTCCTAGACTCTTCTGATGCTGAGTCTCCTGAGCTTTCTCCCAGCCTCCGGCGGGTTTTAGGACCTGGTTCCCACTCCGGGCTGTCAGCTGTCCCGCGCGCCTGTACATTTGAACTTGGCGCGCGCACCCAGCCTGACACCTTCCTTCTGACCGTTATACTGCTCCTGTCGCTGCTCCCCTCTTCGGGAACGCTGGCTGCGCTTGACTCCTCCTCCCTGCTTGCTGGAGGAGACGCTGGCCCTGACCTATGGGACTCTTCCCCCCCACTACGCTCCGGTGGGGAATCTGGTCCTGATTTCCAGCTACTGCTCTGGGAGTCTCCACTGACCCCCTGCCTCTGGTGTGTCCCCCCTGGGACCCCCCTTGCCCTGGCCATCGGCGCCCCTTTCTGAGAATCTTCTGATTCACTGGAGAGGCTCACGGAATCTCTCGGGTCACTGTCATTCTGCTCTCCGCTGCCCTCAGACTCATCCCCTTCGCTCTCCATCCTCTCTCTCCCCTGCGCCTCTCCTCCTGAGCCCCTGACAGTACCCTTTTGAATTATTTATATTTGCATTGTCCCCGCCTTTTCAGTGGGCTGGGTACTGATCCAGCTGTCCGACCTGCCATATTTTCCAGCAATTTAGTGCAAATTTAGTGACTGAGATGTATTGAGACCAATCACAGGACCTTTTGTGGAAACCCCTTTGCAGCCTACAACAAAGCTTTGTCCTGCCTCACCAGAAAGAAAGGTTCTGTGTTTTGATGTGATTCTTTACGGAGTTAACTAGGGTATATGTTTAGTTGTAAAACTCACAATAGAAAATTAAGCGTTGTAGCCAACTAAGTTTTACTCAGAGTAAACCCACTAAAATTAATGAACCTCGCTTAGTCATGTCCATTAACTTCAATGGATTTTCTCTGAGTAGGACTGGCATTGGATAGAACTCAATACATTTCTATCAAAATACAGTATAATTGGAGGCTACATGTTTAATGTGCTTCCTCCTTGAATACTATCTGTACTATCAAATATGCACTATAAAAGCTAAAGCTGTTATAAAGTGATGCGAACTAAAATGCAGATTTAATTAAGCAGTAGAACAATTCTACTCGGTGATTGAATTATAGAAGCGTTTTAAAACAAAGTTGTGGATTTAGCCAAGCAGTGCCAGATTTAAGGTGGTGCGGGTGGTTCCTATATTTATACAAGTACCTATTGAGAGTACAGAAAATACTATGTAAATAAGAAATATGAGGTGGGGCATATTTTGTCATCACCCAGGGTGCCACATTACCAAAGTCTGCCCCTGAGCCAAGCCAAAGTGGACCAGCACTGTGTTCCTTGACTTTGATTCATTCTTACTGTTTACATGCTTTGATAAGTGCTGTTCATCTGGTAGCTGGTTATTTTAAGATTAAGGTGGCTGAATTGGAGAAATATGATAACGCGCTAAGCACATACCTCTGTCTGTTGTGTGGGAGATTTTATAACTTGGAAACATAATGGTGGGTTTGCGATGCTTGTCTTGACTTGCCTGCCTGCTTAAAATCCATTTCACAATGATGAATTTTGCCATCTTCCTAGCTTTAAATATATATATATATATATATATATATATATATATATATATATTTCCCTAAAAACAAAATAAAAACTTAATTAGAATATTATTCCTTATTCCTGTCATTTTAGATTTATCAAAACAAAAAAATTCTTTCCAGTAGCACCTTAAAGACCAACTAAGTTAGTTCTTGGTATGAGCTTTCGTGTGCATGCACACTTCTTCAGATACACTTCTTCAGAAGTGTGCATGCACACGAAAGCTCATACCAAGAACTAACTTAGTTGGTCTTTAAGGTGCTACTGGAAAGAATTTTTTTGTTTTGACTATGGCAGACCAACACGGCTACCTATCTGTAACTAGATTTATCAGTTAGTGATGTTTGAAGAGCAAGGCTATTTTCCCTTGAGATAATCTTCCTTTTTATGTGACTTCACTGAGTATATTGTAATAGACAACATCCTTTTTTCTTTTTTTAAAGAAACTATTTCCCCCGTATATGAGCTGTAAGTGACTAATGTTGTTGCTATTCACATACAGGGATCTAGGAGTATGTCACTTATTCAGGGCCACCCAGCGAGTTAATTATTGAGCTGGGATTTAAATCTCTGGAAGCCAGGTTCACATATATAGTGCTCTATCCAGTATGCCACACTGCCTGAAAGCATTTGTGGAATGCAAAGAATGCAGTATCTGGAATAGTTTGTTAAAATCTTAATCACATTTTAAAATGAAATTAAGCCTGAAATGCTGTTTTTATGATAGCAATAATACATTCACTTTGGGATGCGTATTAACATGAATAGACACATGCCTGAGGTAGTATGAAAAGTTTAGGAAATATTCATGATTTACTTAGGTATAATTGTCACTGAAGTATATAGCAATTAGGTGAGGACAATGGGTTTCTGTTTTGGAAAAATAAAAGATGTCTTTCATTTGCTCCTTTTGACACAGAGCCGGGATTAGAGAAATGCTGTAGATCCCACAAACAGCCTGAATTCAACCCTTGTCAATGAGGGTGGGGTGGGGGGGTGCTTGCGGCTGCATTTTTTTGGCCATTTTAGCTGTGTGAAATTAGAAATTATGTGCTATTTATGTAACACAGGGGAACTTACTCAAATGCTTTTAACTCTTTGGCACTGGGAGCTGACAACTCTGGGAGTATGTTGCCAGGAACAGATGCATACTCAACTCTCAGCCTGAGATGATTAACTGCATGTGACAATTAGGGTCATGTGCAGTACTGAAATTGCTAAAATTAAAGTTTCTCATGTCACCCTCTCTGCTCCACTGTTTGATGAATATAGAATTGGGAGTTTCGCATTTGTATGAGAAGCCTCTAAGTCCTTTCAGTGTCAATATCCGCAAGCTTTTAAAGTAAAACGTTTCTTCCCCTAATTTTTAAAGGCTTTAATCGGTTCGTACTTACTGCAGTAATTGTGATCACTTTGCCATTTAAAGTAAGAAGCTTTCTCACCCTTGGCCCTCTGATCTCATTGGTGCTGGGCTAGGTGGAAGGAAGTGGCATGAGAAATCTAGTGCTTAAGAAAGCCATGGGATTTTGGAGGCAGTCTGGAGAATTGGGTAGCTATTGGGGATGCACAAGCAAAAAAAGGGATCAAGTATTTCTGAAAGGACAGTTCTGATGTGCACAAAAAACTTGAAGGTACTTGTGGATCACCAATTCTGCTTCCTTCACTTCACTCTTTGATTGTTTCCTGAGAGCCCAGCAACTTATGTGCAGCAGCAGGGATGGTGGAGAGAGCACTCCCAGAATATTTTTGGTCATTTTGCCATAAGGGCTCTGAGACTAGTAGCCACAGCCCCTGTGGGAGAAGACACATGCTGAGGTTATGGGAGTATCTGCTGCTGCTACCACCCTCTTTTTCTCCCCTGCTCACCTTGATACTGCTCTCAAGTATTCAATAGGGATGTTCAGTTTTGTGAGTACTTATATTCAAACACTCTAGGAGCTATTTGGCTCCCCTCCCTAGTCACCATGAGGTTAGCCAAGTTACGTCAAATATGGGATGCATATTTTCGTTTTGTGCTGATTATTTTATTATCCTTTGGGTCATTCACTGTTTTCCCCAAAGGCTGCACATGGAGTGTCTGGGGCAACACAATTACCTTTTAATGATAACTGTTGCTCACACTTAATATGAAACTGTGTACTATACTCAGGCACACCCCGGGTGATTTGTTATATATGAATATCTCAGAATGATTGCAGTTTCTCAGTGTAGCGTACAATGTCTGCTCTTCCCATCTGAATACTTGTAGTGGTTGGATGGTAAACTTTATCTCTGGGTTTTTAATGAAGCAAAATCCACCATAGATCAGCACTGTACCACAACCATCATGCATACACGTAGAGAATCACCTGTCCTACACTCAACTTGTCCAGTCTTATTTTCAGCAAATGGAAAGGGTGCTGGCTAATAAATAAACCTTGGTTCAACAGTAAGGACTGCACTGGAAATATATAGCAAGCTAGAGAGCAAGCATTGCTTGTTGATTGATGTGCATGATTTACACATGGCTTTCATTGATGTGGCAGATTCCAAACCACAGTGGAACAAGCAGTACTTAGTCTGCTGTTTACTAAGAACCTGTTCATGGGCAGCTGTACCTGTGTCATAGGCAGCTTTCTTATACTGAATAAGACAAAATAGATCATCTAATGCTGTCTTGAGCTGAGCTACCCCATCATCATGCAACTGAAGTCTACCTTAATATGGCCTATAGTGCAACAAGTTGAATTTGATGCTTGGCCACACATGCAGAACATGCGCAAATCACTGTGCCATCTAAGACTAGAAACACCTAGAGGTCATCATGGGCAGGCTGTTTTTATGGTCACCTCATGTAGAAGTAATTGTGATAACAGGACCTAATACAGAAATGATTATGTTTGTGAAATCTTGCATTGAAATAAATGTCCAACTAACAATAATAAAAAACACTGAAAAACAGGAATAAAGTATTACACCTGTGGTTTATTGGTTAATTTTTTTGAGCTGTTGGTACACATATATTGGGTGTGCACCAGCACAAAATGCGGGTGCCAGTGTAAAATAGCAGCAAAAAAGAGGTAGACATTTAAAAAATGGGTGTTAGTATTCCATACCAGTGAGTGTCATCACAAGAAAGTTCTCTCTCTCTCTCTCTCTCTCTCTCTCTCTCTCTCTCTCTCCCTATTTCATGCAGCTGATACTGATCTTAATTAAAGTATTCCCTTAAGCAAGGATTGCTGACTCAGGCCTTCTTAAGGTTTTTGCTTTTGTAGAATCAATAGGAATGCTCATTTATTCATATTGTTCTCCACTAATGAGATATAAAAGCAGTATTCTTTTTAGAATGTCCTCCACACCAAGAAATTGAAATATGTTTCTTTCTTGGGTATAACATGGGTGCATGCAACCTTTCAACGAGAACATGAAGCAAATGGTTCCTTCTCACTATCCGTTTAGGTCTTGTGTGGGGCTGCATCGCAATGCTCTGAATGTATAACAAGTTAGAAAGTTTGCACAGACTCCCTTTGATTATTCACCAAATATTTTGCAAGAGAAGGCTATTCTGTCTTCTGTGGAAATAACAACTGATTCTTACATTTCTGCTATATTATGTATTGGCTTAGCTGTGTCCTTTTTACTTGGTTATGTTTTCCTTTTTTTGTACTTGGGATTGTGAAATACTTATGAATGATGAGGGACTGGCAGTGATTTTTTAAAAGCTGCAAGTTATTTTAACGTGCAAATAGTATTTTCCTATTTTGTTCCATTAAGATGCCAGCAGCAGGAGCAGATATCATGTCCAATGGTTCCCAGAGTCTTGTTTGCACAATGATACAAAAGGGTCTGAAAAATCCAGTGGTATAACATATGTAAGTAGAACTTTAGTAATCAAAAATTGAAAATAGAAAGAGGGGTATCTTAATAAAGAACATATGGGGGTATGGAAACTATCTTTATAAAAAATCCATTGCATCCAATTCTTCTCACTGTTTTCAGAGGAGCCACAACAGAGGAAACCTACCTCTCCTGTTATCCCATTTATCATCCTATACCTATTCCCTTCCATATCTAGCACAGACTCCTTGTCCTTACCTTTTGAAACCTCACACTATCTTATGGTCCTTGTTTGTCATTATGTTCCCATCCATGAAATCCTCCATCTCTAGCACCTGAGTCAGCCAAAGATCTCCTACATTAAATGACTCTGCTGTTCTTCCTTGCTGCTTTTATGTCTTGAACGTCCCCCCTAATAGATGATGCCTCCTCAGCCCTCCCATCTTCAAAGCACACCTCAAAAGCTACCTATTCTGTGTGGCATGTGACATATATCCTTCATCTTTATTCCCTACTGTAAGCAAGCTGTAAGAAAATGTAATTGCATTCTTACCCTCCTGTCCATTTGGCCTATGTAAGGTTAGTAGTGGTACATAGTAGTGGTTGCATGGAAACTCCTTCCTGACAATGGCATTACTGCTGCTTTCCTGGGCAGGGAGCAGGACTGCATCTCTGTATTGGTGCATTCACATAGCCCTGATCTCACATAGCCCAGCCATTTCCAGGCAAGCATTAGTGATGCTGGTGTTGGGATGGCAGCTCCACCACACATGCTGCTCCACCACACATGCTGCTTCAGAAAGAACAAGACTTGCTGATTTGTGATGGCTCCCGTAAATTCTAGATGGTCAAGTAGTTTGAGGACTACTCTTCCACTCTGTGTCCTTTGGTTTTAGAGTGCTGCGATGCCATCAAGTAGCTTGGATTTGAATTGCTACTGTTATGCTGATGACACGTAGCCATAACTTTCATTTCCATAACCAGATGCTAGGTGGGTGGTGTAAACTCTGAACTGGGGTTTGGAGATAGTTCGTGTCTGGATGATGGTAAGCATACGTTGACTAGGATAGGATAGCAGAAGATGACTTAACTGCGTGATAAGGAAACTAGTCATTTAATTTTTGTATTCTTGTTTTCTGAATCAAAACCACTTTGGCATAGATAGCTTGATGTAGGGGTGGAAGTAAAGATTTAATCTGAAGCAAGGTACCTCAAATGAAAGATAAGAAACTGATTTATATGCAAACTATCTTTTTGTAGGAAAACTATATAATTCTTCAAGACCTGTTATTTTCCTGCAAATACAAAGTTACAGTCCAGCCAGCAAGATCCAAAGGCCAATTAAAGGCTGAAAGTATTTTCTTTACTACTCCGCCTTGTTCTGATCTTAAAGGAAAGAAGCACAAGCACATCAGTTGCCCCACTGAAGGAGGTAAGCAGAGATCTGGAAAACCGGCAGAATTTTTATTTTTATTATTATGTATTGAATTTGTATCACTCCCAATACCCGCAGATCTCAGGATGGCTCACAACATAAAATCACAATCTGGTAGCTCTTGAAAACCATTCTGAAAGATTAGAATAAAATAAAATTATGAGAGAGTTCATTGTAAATAGGCGTGTTGGCAAGTCAAGCAGGTGGAACTCTGGGGTGGTGGAGAGTTCTGCAAGCAGTCAGTTCAGAACCTGAGAAGAATGAACTGTCCCTTACCTATAGCCCTCTATATAATAATAATAATAATAATAATAATAATAATAATATTTATACCCCGCCCATCTGGCTGGGTTTCCCCAGCCACTCTGGGTGGCTTCCAATCCCTCTAGGAAAGGATGCAGGGAGGAAAAATGAGAACCAGAAAAATAGAGAGGGGTAGAACAAGTGAAAGGGACGCGGGTGGCGCTGTGGGTAAAAGCCTCAGCGCCTAGGGCTTGCCGATCGAAAGGTCGGCGGTTCGAATCCCCGCGGTGGGGTGTGCTCCCGTTGTTCGGTCCCAGCACCTGCCAACCTAGCAGTTCGAAAGCACTCCCGGGTGCAAGTAGATAAATAGGTATCGCTTACTAGCGGGAAGGTAAACGGTGTTTCCGTGTGCGGCTCTGGCTCACCAGAGCAGCGATGTCACGCTGGCCACGTGACCCGGAAGTGTCTCCGGACAGCGCTGGCCCCCGGCCTCTTGAGTGAGATGGGCGCACAACCCTAGAGTCTGTCAAGACTGGCCCGTACGGGCAGGGGTACCTTTACCTTTTTAGAACAAGTGAAATAATTCTGTGTGTCTATATTTTTTATGTGTCTTTGTTTTTAAGCTCGAAAGAAATGCTAATGTATTGTTTCTTCTTGTTGTGATGGTGATTTTTGCAGTTCCAGTTGTCCCCAAAGTGTTGGCCAAGCCCGAGAATCTTTCTGCCTCTTTCATTGTTCAGGACATCAACATTACTGGGCACTTTTCCTGGAAAATATCAAAAGTAAATCTTCACCAACCCATGACAGGGTTCCAGGTCACTTGGGCAGAGGTTACAACTGAGAGCAGACAAAACAGCTTGCCCAACAGCATTATTTCCCAGTCACAAATACTGCCTGTAGTAAGTATTTGCTACTTCTGTGTTGTGGGATAGGAGGGAAGACTTGAGGGGACAATAACATATGCACCATTGTAATGAACATCTTTGATCTAGCTAATGCTTTTTTTTTTTTACTGTTCCTATTTTCTTTTAAGGATCATTATGTTCTGACAGTTCCCAACCTGAGGCCATCGACCCTCTACCGTTTAGAAGTACAAGTTCTGACAACAGGTGGAGAGGGACCAGCTACAATAAAATCATTCCGAACACCTGACTTGCTGATGTCTCCACACAGTGAGTATTGACAATTTATGGGGAAGTATTTTGAAAGATGTCCAGGTAGTATATCTGTTTACTAGAAGATTATTTGTCCTTATGGGGTACAGCTCACACCTGGCAGGTACTTTGATGCCCATACAAACCTTGATGGAATACCCACTCGAGGGTATTTTTGTTTGTTTCATTTAAACATGGTGGAACCAAACCCTGTTGCCAGAATTCACCATACACCGTGGCCTTGATTCAGTGGCTGAGGTTTGTGCACCAAACTATCGGTGCCTGCAATGAGCAGCTTACATGTGTGCCAGCCTTCCACTGCCCAGAAACGCCCCTCCCCTTGCTTATTTAATCTGATACAAAAGAAAATATATTTTCTTCTACCAACATTAATACAGATTTGTATTAGTCACAGTTGATTTATAATGTTTTCCTTTATAGGACCTCATCTGAAGCAACACCACTCACATCATTATAAGCCACCACCTGAAAAGTACTAAATTGCATTGGATTATTAACTAACTGGAAAAGAACATAAAAGAGCTCTTGCGAAAATATCAGAAAAACGCATCTATACTGGACTATGAAATGGTCTGTGCTTTCAGTGGATGCTCATCATTTGAAAAAATGTTTTATGAACTCCAGGATAAAGTATGCCAGGCAAGGATCACGGTATTCACGTAAATAGAAGCATCCAACGTCTATGAAAATTTAAAGAGTATATGAATATAGTGATTTACCAGCATCATAGCGTACACTGTTTGACATTCACACATTTCTCAGTCTTTTACTGTCTATGTGCATGGTGGTTTTTTTGTATTATAGAGAGTTTTAAATGTATAGATGTAAACAAACATTTATCTGTTATCAATTTACTATATCTCTGATCCTGTAACTATTTGTCAAGAGAAACAGAATCTGTTGACAGGGCAGTCTCCAGCTACAATGCAAGCACAACCACTTTTAGCTGCACAGTATAAATTCCCTTCCCACTTCTGTTTCTGTGGGCCAGAGTAACTGTTTAGATGGCTACCACCCACAAATCCCATATTTTGATTGGTTTAATGAAGACCCTTGATGCACTGTGGCAGATGGGGAACTCCCCCCCCCCCAGCTAAAGTGTTATCATTCATTTGTAAATGCTGCCAATCCCAGATCATCTTGGCAGAAAGGTGTGTGAATTAGGAGAAATATACAAGAGGTTTGTTGGCATTCATCTGTCCCAAGAGACAATGGCAGGAGTTGCTGGAAGGAGGCGTGCAAGGTGCCATCCAAACATCTTAGGGACTCTACTCCAGATTTGTGTAGGGTTTACTCCTTAGCCTTTTCTTCTCCCAATGATAGCCTGCAAGGCAGTGGAGGTTGAAAATCAGAGTTTTCCTTTTCCTAGATGGGCTACCTCCCCAGGTTGATTATCCCCATTTGCCCCTCACTTCCATCTACAACATGTGCAGAAACTGCCTTTTTGACGACCATTAGATCCATTATTGGTCTCATCCGCTCAATCCACTGGAGCCTCTCTCTGCATGCGGGGGCAATCCCTAACTGACAGAGGCTTTGAGACCCATGGGCTACCATCACCTTGTTTAGCTGGCCAGTTGAAGCCATTTCTCGGGTGTGGCTGCTATCACATGCTGACAGCTTCTAGGAGCCACAGGTAAGAGCTGAGTGCAGAGTGAGGACCAGAGGTGGACAAACTACCCCAGAAGGAGCACGATGTGTCCCCCACCAGAGGTGCTACACCTCCCCCAAACAAGAGGTTAAATATCTAAATAATAGTGGATTTTGTGTGCATGCACAAGAATGCTTGTTGCAATCTGTTCTCTTGCCGTAAATCAGAGAAAGAAAAACCCTGTTCAGGCTGAAGGACATATTCTCACATGGGGAGCTTTCCAGGCCACCTGGCAGTGGTTGGATAGACTAGAGGAAAAAAGTGGACTAGGCAACTTGTACCTTTGTACAGTAGGCTACATTCCTGTTATGAAAAAGTCAGAAGTCCACCCCGCCAATTTCGCCATCTCTCAGGCAAGCAAGAGACATTATTACAGTTCAAGAACACATTCCAGCCAGGCAAATGCGTTCGAGGAGGGTGCAGAGCAAGGACAGTGAAGGGGGTTAACTTTGGGACGATTTGTAATATTGAGAGTTCTGGGGGCTGGATAGAGAGGCCTGAGGTTTCCCACCTCTAATGTAAATGAACATGCAAGCAGATACAGAGAGAACTTTATGTAGAAATTCCAATACACATGATCCTCAGGATGAAGCTGTTAGAATTACATGTGTTCTTAAATATTCAAATATTGATGTCATTTTATTGAACTAAGCAACACCTCTGAGGATTTTGAATATTTTTTTTTAAAGGAAACCTTCTTTACTGTGTTATGAAGCACCACAGCCAAACTTTATTAGCCTAAATAATTTCCACATGTTTTCAGCAAAATAGTACAGGGTGACGCCTTCAGATTTACAGTTAATCATTTTTCTCTTGCCCATTTTGCTTTGTAAGCACAAATCAATATGCTTGATAGAAAGTTTCTAGATATCTTGCACGTTAATTAATGCACAGTTCTGATTTCGGTGATAAGCCCTAGAAGACATTTTCCTTCATATTTTTATGTTTGATCTTCTAAAAAAAAAGTTGTTTTTTTTAAGAGTCTTCATTAGCCCTTCATTTTAAGCTCTGTATTCATAGAGAAGAATAAAAATCTAGGGAAAGGGAAAGGAACCATGGATGGTTAAGTCCAGTCAAACTTGATTCTGGGGTGTCGCTTTCCAGTACTTAGAAATAAAGAATATCTGAACTACATCTGAAAGTAGTTCCCATAATTTAGTCTTGCCATACGTCAGGAAAATTCCTGACATGTACTGGTTTTTGGGTGTAAAAATGGTGTCAGGGAGAAATTTTGTGGGTGTCAGGAATGATACTTTTTGAAATATGGCAACCCTACCATAATTGCCAGGGATCTGAAAGTGGATTAAGTTCATGTGGGAGGGGGTAGAATTCTGAACAATACCTAGTTCATCTTCATGTTCATTCCCTCATCCCACCCTCAGCAGCAGGCTTGGATTTTTAGCTTTCTTTTCCTTTTCTTTTTTTAAAGTAAGCCACTCTATAAAGAAAGCTAGAAAACAAAGTGTGGAGGCAATATTCTAAAGATTACTAGGCAGATGTCCTTGAATTATTCCTTAGGCATTTATGGGCTTGAGCAACAACTCTGTACTTGTTGTTGCAAATACAACTCATTGTTTCAGAGAGGTTACATGTGCTCATCACTTCACCACAGTATCAAGAGAAGACTTTAACACCTATGAAGCAGCCATAATTTCAAGCACTGCAATCATCACCTGGATGGTGAAAACAGTTATATGCAGACAGCTTCCAAATACTGAGGGACTTAGAACAGCTTGTATGCATTCAGTTTTCATGTAATGCTTTTTCTTTCTGTTCAATAGATAGAACAAAAACCCACATACATGTTGAGTCCTAATCTCTCCAGTTTGGATTTTAGCCCTAAACTATGGTAGAGGGTTGGATGTGAATGTGGCCAATGCTGTTCAATAGCATTGGTTTATGTAATCAGTTGCAAGTAATCAAGTTAATCACATGTATCAGTGAACATCCATGAGCATGGAGAGTAAAACCTGAGCTGATATCTGTGCAGTTCTGAAGACAGTTAAATAGATACTTAAACGGCATTGAAATCACTGAGTTATATCATTATGCCAGGGCTTGTCTGTGTAGCGATGAGTTTAGCTACAAGAATATAATCTGCCTTCAACCAGATCTTGAAGAATATAGGATCAGGGCCCAAATAGTTTTATTCCAATGTATTGCCCTTGACAAAAAAGGTGATATATACCAGTAAATACTAACTTATTTATTTTCAGAATACATATCCTTTTCCTTAATCCTTTTGTTGTGGCTGTTAAGTGTTCTTAAACCTTTGATTGATACCTGTGGACATGCAAGTTGCTATAAATGTCATATACACTTGCACATTGTAACCAGGAATATGATGCTTATATGTTGTTGCATGTTTTTTTATTATAAAAAAATTAAAACTTTATTTAAATTAGTAAATTAATACCTACAGATGTTGATGGCTCTATATGGTTTGCATGCCAAAACTCATAATTCAGTTATAGGCATGAAGTCTATAGCTGTATTACCTCTCTTGAATATATTGGTAAGGTACAATTTGAAAAGTAATTAATAGAGGTTCTATATGTAAAAATATTTTTCCGTTTTATCTAATTATATTGTAGTGTGGAGATAACAAAACTACTTATCTGTTAACTAAATTGGCTGTAGAAATCATGTTTTTACAACAGTCATTTAAAAGTCAGTATTTATTTATATATGTTTTACAAAAGATGGTTCATTTGTGCGTGTCAATGTTACTTAGAATAATCCTTGTAAAAACATTTTGTAAAAAAAATTGTAAATAGGCTGCCGTTTCCTCATTATTTTAATGTTTAGATTTTGTACATAAGTTTAAGTAATAAACTACCCTTCTATATAGAAATTTAGTCTCATGTAATTGTTAATTCATTGATTCAAAGTGCCTTCCTATAACCACAGTTCTCTAGAGAGAGCGTTTGTGATTCTAACCTATGCAGGAAGCTGGGCATTCATAGCTCCTGTTTTATACTCTAGTCCAGTGTTTCCCAACCTTGGGCCTCCAGCTGTTTTTGGACTACAACTCCCATCATCCCTAGCTAGCAAGACCAGTGGTCAGGGATGATGGGAATTGTAGTTCAAAAACAGCTGGTGGCCCAAGGTTGGGAAACACTGCTCTAGTCTAATGCATCTAGGGTAGAGAGGGAGAACTAAATTCAGCATACCCACACCCTGCTCTAAACAACTGTGCAGCACTAGGCAGAAGGCATTCTTGCTCTCACTTGGTTTGCTGTTTTCTTAAAGAAACTTGAAAGGTGGTGTGCATGGGCTACACACATTCTTTGCTTCTCAGGAAACTCCCGCTAACCAGTTTGCAATTTATGTTTCTTCCACACCAGTTTATGTTTCTTCTATTGTATGGTTACCAGATTTTTTCAATGAATCAGGGGACCCTTTTTAAAAAAAATACATGCTTTATTATCCACAATTACATCTATACATCATTTGTTTTGCTGTCTTGAGAAGTCCAGAGGAGGAGAGAAACCTGGGGGATGGAGTTGGAAGCAGAGTTTGAGAATATGACTGTGGGATGATCACAGAATCACAGATTTGGAAAGGACCTTGGAGGGCCAACTAGGCCAACCCCCTGCAATGGAGGTACCTCAACTCAAGCAGCCTCAGCTTAAAAGAACATAAGGCTTCCCTGCTCCATTTACAGCTATTGTGACACAGAAGGTACCCCCCCCAAGCCCCATCCCACCAATAGCTCCCTTTTTATCAAAGGGGAGGGAGGCAAGCAAGCAGAGGTAGCCTCCTTTAATATTTTTAAAGGTTCCTTTTAATTTTTTAAGGTTCATTTTTAATAAGGAGGGAACAGGAGAGCTATTAAGGGGGAACCAACATA